TACATGATAGGATGAATGTAAAGTTGATGTTCTCCCATGTAAACAATCACATAATTCACAATAAAACATTAAAACTCAAAAACAGAAACCAAATCAAATTCATTGCCATCAAGTCAGTTCAGACGCATAGCAATGCTGAATAGGGTTTCCAAGGAGTGGTTGGTGGATTTGAACTGCCGACCTTGCAGTGCAGCGCTTTATCCCATAGCACTTCCTAATAAACATTCAGACTGGCTCTCCCTCTGCATTTGTTTTCTGGAAGAACCAGCTTGGGAGAGCTCCTTCTGGGCCTTTTCCAGTCTCCTTTTCCGCAACTCTGAACAATTTTGTCATGATGATGAGTTTGCTCAATAGCTGATCTCCAAGGGAAATGTCTTACAGCCAATCTTGCTTTTCCTAGAGCTTCATGCACGGTCAGCTGCTACTGACCATCACATCCTAACTGGGCCTTGAGCTCATCACCTTTTCTCTTTCCTCCCTCCTGCCCACGCCTGCTTCCCATGCTGTGGCCTCTAAGTTTGTAAGTAGACCACCTCTCCCCCTTGCTTCTCACCCAATAATATGAAGACTTTTTTTGTTGTTTTAACTTCTTATTTTGGTTGGGTGAATCTGTTTTCCATTCAATGACACATACACATTTTGTTTCATACCATTGATTGAATCCTTACAATATCCCACTTCCTCCCTGGGTCTCCCATTTCCAGTTGTCCATTTTCCTAACCTTCTGAACTTTGCCTTTTGCCCTTTTGCTCTCAAATGGCTGTTTATTCTAAGGCATGCTCCCCTCCCTAGTATTATTGTTCCTCTGAAAGACCGGGCTGCAAGGTTGGTGGTTCAAACCCACCAGCCACTCTCTGGAAGAAAGATGGAGCTGTCTGCTCCTACAAAGATTTATCCTGTGTAATACAGGTTCTGTTTTGCCATGTAGGGTCACTGGGAGTTAGAATTGATCCGACTGGGAGGTTTGGAGGTCTGGAGACCTGTCTGTTACTTGGCTGGAAATGGAGTCACAGGCAGACGCAAAGAGTGACTGAAGGTCACACTCTCAGGGGTCCCCCCAGCTTCTGTGTGACCAGCAAGCCTCGTCTTTTTTTTAATTTTGAGTTTTGTTCCACACTTTCGCCCAGTCTATCCAGGACCTTCTCATGCAATCCTTTTTGGAGCAGCTGGTTGGGGGAGTGAGTCACCATTTTAGTTCCTCTGGTCTTGGGGAGTTTTTTACTGGATTTCCTGCTTTCTCATTTCACTGACTTCCTGTTGGTTTTGTTTCCTATTGACAGAGAGATCTTTCTAGCACATGAATCTGATCAAGCTGCTGTAGTCAGCTTTCATTGAGTTAATCCTTAACTCATAGTGATCCTATGCACAAGCGAATACAACCCTGCCCAGTTCTTTGCTAGCCTCACGATTTCACAAGTGTTACAACAAGTGGGAAGGAGCTCTGGTAGCGTAGTGGTTACAAATCGGGCTGTGAGCCGCAAGGTCAGCAGTTCGAAACTACCAGCTGTTACGCAGGAGAAAGATGAGGCAATCTGCTCCCGTAAAGATTTCCAGCCTCGGAAACCCTGTACAGGGTCACTATGAGTCGGAACCAACTCCACGGCACATAACAACAACAACAACCACAAGTGGGACTCAGTTTTCTTTTTTCTCCTTTCAGAATGGCTCTCCTTACCCTAATTTGAAGGAGCTCTGGTAGCGTAGTGGTTACAAATCGGGCTGTGAGCCGCAAGGTCAGCAGTTCGAAACTACCAGCTGTTACGCAGGAGAAAGATGAGGCAATCTGCTCCCGTAAAGATGTACAGCCTCAGAAACCCTGTACAGGATCGCTATGGGTCGAAACCGACTCGACGGCACTTAACAACAACAACCCTAATTTGCCCTTAATTTCTGCCCAAACTCCGCTACCCTTCAGACCACCTCCCAGATGGGATCACACCTGTGGAATCTTACCTCGACCTGATCTGGCTCACAATTTTCTCAGGTCCCCAACCCCTTTGTCAAATGGCATCAACCAGCTGTCCAATTCCCCTAGGCTTTTTCTATACAGTACTCTAGGTTAAGCATTGGACTGCTAATCCTAAGGTCAGCACTTGTCAAAAACCCTGAATCGAGGGAACTTACCATCAATGGCTAAGATGTGTAGACTATGTTTGCTTTCTTAGACAACTTAAATTGTTTTCATTATTCCAAAGAATGATTGAAATGGGTATTCTAGTCACTGTGGTATGACCCCCCTAAAAAGAAACAAATTTGAGTAGAGGTATGTATTTTGCTGTTACATGCCCTTGAGTCAGTTCTGACTCATAGCAACCCTGTACAAGTTTTCTGAGGAGCAGCGGGTGAGTTTGAACCATCAACCTTGCAGTTCAAACCAACCTTATGGTTGAGTACTTATTCTACAGTGTCACACCAGAAATCCCAGAGTCATGCATAGATAGCTTGGCTGAGGTTCAGGCTGAAATGTGGAGGGAAAAATAAAGGTTAGTGAGTTGGTGAAAGGTAGGGAATAAAGGAGAAAGGAAGGTAGAGACTTGTCGAACATTAAAAGCTCTAAAAGCTGGTCAGCTAACTCTCCTAAAGCAGCTGCCTCAGCACTGTTAGCATTTTGTGCTCATTGTTTGCTTTGGGTGTGGGGGATGAGGCGGAAGTGTTCTGTGATGTGGAATGTTTTGCGGGACCCACTGGATGTGAGTGTTGTTGTTAGAGATTGTGGAGTCAGTCCTGAGTCAGGGTGAGCCATGCACAATACACAGAAATACCTCTGGTCCTGCGCCGCCTGCTGTGCCCGTGATGGGTGACCCACAAGCTGCTTCTCAGAAGCAGACCATCAGACCTTTCATGAGTGCCTGTCTTGGTCCAGAAACTCCCCTGAAAGGTGTTCAGCACAAGAGTACCATGCAGCCTCAACTGAAAGTGGAGCAGGACGGGAGTGGGGGAACTGTGAGGCACACCAGCTGGGAATCAAACCCAGGTCTCCACCTTTCACATCAACCTCCACAGCTCCCCCTTTTCATGCTACTTCCTCTAATCAAAACTCCTTCAATGACTTTGAGCCTCGTTGTCCTTGCAGATGACACACTCGGTCTACTCCTGTCTGTCTTCTAACCACACACTCCATTAGCTGACCCTACCCACTTGCGGTCGGTCGGCATCGCTGCACTGAAGCCCTGCTCCAGCTCACCTGACTGACCCCAGCAGAGAGGAGCTCTCCAGTTTGATTGGGCTGCTTTCCCTTGACCCTTCAGTTCCCCCCACCCCAGAGCAATAGTTTATGGGCCTCTTTTTGTTGTTGTTGTTGTAGTTTTCACCTATTTTCTATGATAGAGCAGTTTAAGGTTTACAGAAAATACAGTGAGTCCCGCATGTCCATCACCGTCTTGCCTCGATGGGGAGCATTTGTTACAGTTGACAGGCCAGCATGGTGCACTGTTCAAGTTGGTGGTTCACATTAGGGCTCACTGTGTTGTTTGTATCCACCATGAGACCACCCTGCAGATTAGCGTCACTGCCTGGAAATGCTGTTCACGTCACCTACTCACCCCTCCCTTCTCCCCCCGAGCCCCTAGAAATCATCATCTTTTTATTGGCTGTATCGTTTTTTTGTGGTTTCCCAGACTGTCATGGGATTGGAATGCAAAGGCCTCTTGACGTTCTGCCTTCCCTCTCAGTAAGTTCCTCAACAGTGGTGATGGGGTCTTTCCATAGGAGCGTAGGGCCCAGCAGTAACCCACTCCGACTCCGGACAGAGTAGACTGATTTGTAGGGTTTCAGAGCTAGTGAATCTTTACAGGAACACGCAGCCTCATCTTTCTCCAGCGGAACTGCCAGTGGGTTTGAATCTTTGACCTTTCTATAACAGCCCAATGTTGGTCCCACGGCGCCACGAGGGTCCTGCAGTTGTTAAATACCATTGAATTGGTTCCAACTCATAGTGACCTTGTACAGGATTTCCATGGAAATGGCTGGCTGGTGGGTTTGAACCAGTCTGATTAGCAGTCCAGTGCTTATCCTACAGTACTACACCAGGAGTTGTTAAGTGCCTTGGAGTTGGTTCCAACTCATAATGACCCTGTATGGGGTTTCCAAAGAGCAATTGGTGGGTTTGAACTGTGGCCCTTTTCAGTTCAAGCTGACCTTGAGGTCGAGTGCTTAACCTCTAGCACTACACCAAGACTCCAGTTGTTGTTTTAAAGTGCCATTGAGTTGGAGTTGGTTCCAACCCATTGCAACCCTGCATAGGGTTTCTGAAGAGCATCTGGTGAGCTTGAACCACTGACCTTTCCATTCAAATTGACCTTGCAGTCCAGCACATTAACCCACAGCGCCATACCAGGACTCCAGTGGTAGGCATAAAACTAATACAATCCTACTGCGGGTTCCACAGCCAAGTACTCAGCCAATTCAGCAGTCCCAGCAATCCCCCAAAGGCTAAATGGGAGTTTACAGTGCTATTTGCATAGCATTTTCAGTGTTTTAGGTTTGGGCTATAGGATCAGCATTAGACTGTGAACCACAAGGTCTGCAGTTCAAGACCACCAACTGCTCCTCGGAAATCCCGTACGGGATCACTGTGAGTCAGAACCAACTCAACAGCATGTGACAACAACAACAACAAGGTATTAAAAGTAATCTGTTGTATGCTGAGGAAGATGCTGCATTCTAACCCTATAACTTTCTGATAAAAGGCAAAACTATAGCTTCAATAAAAAGATTATAGCAACCCTGTATAGGGTTTCTGCAAGTGACTGGTGGGTTTGAACTGCCAACCTAGCAGTCCTGTGCTTAATCTTATCTAGAGACGATGTATAATATATAAGATGTTGCAGGCTATGTGCAAGCATTATGCCGTTTTATATAAGGAGCTGAGCATCTGTGGTTTTTTATCCATGGAGGTCCTGAAACCAATCCCTGGCTGTATTGGTAGAACGAAGTAAGTAGGAAACACATAGAAGCTGTAGGCTCCAGACCCAGCTCCACCACTAACTAGCTCTATGCGTCTGTGTCTGTGCTAAATCTCCCATCCCCTAAGTGTAAACTGAGAAGATTGGCTTAGATAATCGCTAAGGCTCCTTCCAGGGTTGATGCCCTATGAAGACCAGCTAATTGTGCAGAATGGTAACCAGATCTTCCAACAGGGCCCAGGCCCACGCAGGAGGTGTGGTTCTGCAGATCACCACTAGGTGGCAGGCGGGAAGGCGGGCTGGATGCAAAGCAGCTCTGCTTTCAGAAAGAATGGGTGGGTCCCTGGATTTCTACAGCTCTGTTCAGGGTCGTCTTTTCTCTAGACGCTGCAATTGTGGACCGTTTAAGTGAAGCAGCACATCCTATTGCCCAGACCTAAGGAGAAAAGAAGCGACCCTCCCAGCTTTCTGACTGGGTTTCAATCCATCCCCTCCTTTTTCTGCCTCAGGGAGAGCTTTCTTCTTTGTTTGGTGTGAATTTCACTTAGGTGAGATCAGATGACTGGTGGAAAAGGAGTCTGTGATGAGGATTCCTGTCAATGTCATTTCTGGTCAGAAAGGTGAGTCATGGGTTTATACTGAACATGTGCCAACAAAGCTGCCCCCCTGGGGCGTTCCAAGTGAAGTCAGTGGAGAAGCAAGACTTTCCCAGAAGGCTTGCAGTTTCACAGAATTCTTCATGAACAAGATCCTTAGATCTTTAGTGCAAATCAAATCCAAACCCTGTAAAATGCCACGCTTGTAACGTGGCATTAGAGTAGGTTAGGCCGTGGTAACATTTTCACCCTGAAATGCCAATGGTTCAATGCAACAAAATCTATTTCTAGCTCATGAAGGGGCAGGGCATCAAGTGGGAGGCTTTGCTTCTTAATGACCAAGCACCTCCTCCCAGCTTTCAGATCACAGCTGCCAGAGGGAGAGTGCTGGGTTAGCCTGTTGGTCTTTTACGCTCCCACCTAGCAGTGCCACATGTAGCCCACTGGGGGAGCTGCTGGGATGAGCGCCACTGTCGGCCTCCGTAACAGAAATGGAGGTTTACTGAGCATTCCAAGTCTGCAGTCATCCATGTGCCTCTAGTTCTTCCTCTGAAGAGCCGACTGCCTCGGTCCAGGAGACCTGGTCCTTGCTGCGTTCCCATGCCCAAGCATGAAAGCTACTTAGGGCTTTCTTGCATCCTAAAACGAAGTGATCATTGGCATTACTCCATATCTGCTCCCTAATGAAGCTCACCAAGCTCTCTACATTGAGCCCCTCCTGCAGGCTTCGCTCACACCGGTCCCCACTTCCTCTCACCTATCCCAGGACATCAGCTTAGCCAGGTGTACCTGTCTCCACTCTCCCATCGACTTCTATCTCTCTAGCTTGGTATCCCATTGACCTACAGACATACTGGTATTATTCCTACATGAAACCACATCCCCTAACTCCACATTCACCTTCCCAAGTGTCCTCTTCCTCCTTTAGCAGAACTCCCAGGAAGGGTTTCGGTGTCTGCTTCTCCTCACATTTTTGGGCTCACCCCATCAGGGGTTTCCTCTCCTGTACTCCACAAAGCACTCCAGACATCAAAGCCTGGGGCCACCTCTCAGTCAGCCCCTCCATCTGCCTTCCTCACAACCCAGCCTCTAGCCCTCTGGCTTCTCTTCTCTAGTCTTCTTGCTGTCAGCTGACCTCCTGCAGGCCCACCCACATGCTGATGACTGAATTTTGTGTCTCAGATCCTACAGCTTCATGAACTCCAAAGCCACAGTCACTGCCTACCCAGCATCCCCATGCACTGTGGGACCAAGAGCCCCGCCCCCCTCCACCCCCCCAGTCATTCCAGAACACAGCCCCTGTGTCCTTCAGCTGTTCGCATGAAAGCTTTGGCAGCTTTCTTGACTTCTCTTGTTCTTTCACCTGCCTCATTCAATCATCAGAGAACCCTGATGACTCATCCAGAATCAGGTCACGTCTCATCTCATCCACCATCGTACCTGCCTGGCTTGGTTGGGATGTTGTGGTTATTAAGTGCAGTCTAGTCAGTTCTGACCCATAGTGACCCTGTACAGGGTTTCTGAGGAGTGACTGGTGAGCTTGAACCACAGACTTTGTGGTTCAAACCGACTTTGCAGTCCAGCGTATTAACCCACAGCGCCACACCAGGACTCCCTGACTTAGTATACACACCTTCTAAAGGGTCTCCCTGCCTCATCCTCATCCCCTTACTGCCTAGTTTCAATGGAGCAACTGTTTAAAGATAACTTTTCCTCTTTCTTCATTTTTAAAATCAGAGAATTAGGTTCTCACACCAAAATTTCCTGTTCTGATCAGTATCTCTCTATAAAAGCCTTCCAGAATGCTGGATTTTCTTGTGCTAAAAGACCATGATTTTAGAAACAATATCTACTGTCAGACCCTGCCCCCAGAAGGCTGGTATTCCAGAACATTTCTGCATTTTCTCTGCCCCGTCCACCCTGCTCTTCACACACACACACATAACCTCCCTGTCTCCGCACACCAGCTTTCTCCCAGTCTCCACAAGTGCAGGCAAAACACTGCTGCCAGCAGCAGCTGCCACAGAGCACTTCATAGCACACAAAGGAAAAACCCTGCCCGAGTTGTGATGTCATCAGTCTTTGACACAAAAGGAAAACGAGACGATCTTATCAGTTCCATCCAGGAGGAAAAAGGCTTAAAGTAGATGGAACATGTTAAACCACTAGTACTCATTGACAGAACCAGTCACAGGGAGATTTTTCTATTAGCCCTTTTACAATTGGCAATACAGTGTCTTTACCAACCTCGTTTCACAATAGCCCTGCCCATTTCTCTGGCAGCAGGCAGCGCTCCCAGGGGCCAGAAGAGGCTGCTTTCTTCTCTCCACCCCAACCCTGCTGACTAGACTGGACTGGCAGAAGCCAACGTCTTCCCTCCCTGCGCCTCTGGCTCGGACAAGTGATGAGTAAAACAGACCCCTCCTTGTCCAGCTGGTCTGGCTTCCATACCCACTTGTTTTCAAAGAAGGGCCTGCGGAAGAGCCCATGACGGAAGAGGAAACCAGGAAAGAGATTTTCAACAAGATAGCAGTTAGGCCGTTGCAGAGGGCGGCCATTTGCCTCACCACTCCCCCATCCCACTCCACACCTGACACATGCTTCTTTCAGCACCTTCTGAGAGCCACTGAGCTCTGAGCAGCAGGACTTTAATCC